TTTCCTCTTGCTTCACAGCCAGCTGGCTCCTTAACAGCCTTTAGTTTGCAAGTTTTGGCAAAAGCTTTTGGCAGTCCAGGTTAATTAACTGTTCTTTGTCACACACTTCTCTACAGAATGGCCCAGTGAGCTCCGATTAGCCAAATATGCTTTGCCTTAGCAGAGGCAGTGCGGAACGCTAAATGTCTTGATCTTTTATAAATTCTACTTTAAGATGTTAGTGAAACAATTTTTCTGATCACAGACAGCAACTCCCAAGAGCATTTAACCTTTCCAAAGCATAAGTAACATTATCTGCTACTATTCTGAAAGCGGGCACAGAAATACACACTGTATTTTTGAGAGCTCAGACATTTCATTTTTAAATTCCTTCTAAAAAACTTCATCAAAATAGACAGAAAGTATTTTTGGCTCAGGGAGCCCCTGAGCTGTAAAGAGCTAGAGTGCTCAAAGGGAAAAAAAAAGGAGAGGAGAAAGGAGACGTCTCACGTTTACCCTATTCTTACACTTCCCTGTGCACCTGCCCATAGCTATTCACCACAGAAGGTAACTCTGATCCAGTGCAGCTGCTCTTCTGCTCTTGTGAAAATGGAAGACCAATCCATTTAACGTTCCAAGGGCTAAAAGGTGGCAGGAAGATACCTAGAGGAAAAGTGCAGGGAGCATGGTGAACATGTGGTGATATTTGTGATACATTCTTCCCGAGTACAGAATTTGTTGCTTCATGATATCCTGAGCCAGAAGTTTTAGCTACACCTTTGTGCAAAAAAGTACAACATAAATTTGTCTGACTGCTTTTTGAACGATTCACACTGCTATCTCTTCCAGCATTTCTGTATAGGACTTCACAGTCACCAAAAGCACTTCACCATTGCTGCCAGATGAAAAGAAAGGCTTTATCTCCAGCGCTGTCCAAGCTGTAAGTCAGCTGGTGCACAGCAGGATAAAAGACACAATACTGAGCACAGCTTGGACAGGAACTGACTTGTTGGACTGTTTCACGTACATTCCTAGACAAGGAGAGTGCAACGGACCTAATCTGCCTGGATTTAAGGGAAGTATCTCATGCCACACCTACAGGTGATTAGTGAAAGTAATCTGCAGACATTACTAGAAGAGCTGTCTCAACAGGAAACCTTAGCAGATTCTTACTTTTAATAGAAAACTCCTGAAACAAGAAATTAGGGATATTCCTGGAAAACCAACTTTAGAAATTATCCCACCTGATATGATTGTTAGCAACCTTCCCCAAAAAGCTGGTTTAGATCCATTCAGTTTGTAAGAAGCGTCGAGCCAAAAGAACCAGAATTGCCAGTCATCCTACAGGAATAGTGAGCTGAACTGAGTGAGGTGAACTTAAGAGTACTATTATGTGAAGAATAGCACATTTAGGGACTACTAAACAAACCATCAAAAACCAATAAAAAACCCCTAAGGACTCATCAGCTGGAAGCAAAGGTGCATGAAAGACGCAGGGATTTCTGTGCTAACAATACAATGCAATCATGGAGAAAGCTCATGTGATTCCAGGTCTACGAGATACTGTATTTTACTTCAGAAGCAGGGCAGTATTAGCATTACTGAACAAGGCACTGATAAAACCACATTTACAACACTCTTATCAACTGTTTCAAGAAGCATGAGACCAAACTGTGAAAAGTGAACAACTGAGGGGAAAAAAAAAAAAGCGCTACTAAGATAAATAAACAGAACAGAAAGCCTGCCCTTACAAAAGAGGCTGAAACACTGGCTTGCTTAACCTGCCAAAAGGAAGGTTACAAGGAGAAAGGCATTGTTCTTACATATGTTTGGGCAATGCCAGAGAAGGAGGATAAACTTAATTAAGGATAATAAAGTCACACATGTCTAATTTGGTCTGAGTGAGTTTAGAAAGGAAGCTAGAAAAAGAGCAATGAAGCTCTGGGACAATCCTGCAAGCAGAACAATGGCATAAGATATTTACATGGTTTTAAGGCAAACCACTGTAAATTCATAGAAGACATACGGAAAGTTTGGAATGATTTTGGAATTATATCACAGACAATGATTTTCTGATATAAAACATACTCTGTGTACTAACATCCCCAAAAGAATAGTGAAAACACTGGATCACCACACGTTGAACATGTTTACGCTGTGTTTTAAGAATCCCATCCTCCAGGCTTTCTGCTGGTCATTGTGAAGGTCAAGAATAATTTCTCTTGCTTGCAATTCATAACTTGCATTTGGATTTTCTCAGCCTCCCTTCAGTTAAAGCACTAGCCATCAATCATGGCTGGAGATGGAAAGTTAGGTATGGTTTACCGGTACTCCTTGGGATACTCACACCCCTCAAGGCCCCTAGTCAGTGGCTAGTTCTCACGCTCCAGGTGCCATAATCTCTAGCGAGTCAGATGAGAGAACGGGACCACTGGATGGTTTTATGTTTTTCTAGTATTGGTCCTGGTACTGACTGATCTGGCATTTTCACCTAACAATATCATTGTTTCCCCCTATTTCTTCCTTTGCAAGACTGTAGTTTGGAGGTGTTAAATCTGTTGTAACAAAGAGCTCAACTTTGTGTTAGTATTTTGGAGTGCATCTAAGCAAAGGACTAGAAAGGGATGGAAAAAGCAGAAGTATAGAGAAAATACCAGAAAACTCTGCAAACCGCCAAGTTCTGTCACTAGCTTCTGTGCCATTGCGGGGACTCATTTCCAAAATACAGAGGGTCGGTGTCTGTCTGTCCTTCCCCAGGCACTTACAGTCACAGAGAATGAGCCTGGCAAGTGTAAAACTGCACAACAATACTGGACAGTCCTGCATCAGGCGATTGTTTACAAAAACAAACTCCAGCCCCCAACGCAGTGCAGTCACCTTTTGTGATGTTGACCTCACGGATGCTGTAGCCCTCGCGCAGCCGGACTGAGACAATGCTCACGAGGTCAGCGTGCACCTCCTTCTCAGTGTGCTTCTTCCTCCTCATCGCTAGAGCAGGGTTGCTGCTCGCAGACACCAGGTGCTCATTGAACAGCCTGTGCTGGGACACTGCAAACAGCAGAGATAGGGTTTGTGAGGGAGAAACTCCTCTGCTGCTCATCCTACAGCAACAACCATCCCAAATTGCTTTACAAAAGCTGTCAGGTACAGTCACTGGCCCGAAGAACAGCAAATCCTTCAGGCACCACTTACACCCACTCCTGATTTTGCAATGCAGCAAACAGGTCCACTAGCATGGCCAGGAGGCCTGGGAGAGGGGCAGGGTGGGGGGCCAGGCTCTGCTTCCTCTGGGACAGCCTTTGTGACAAGGTACGCGTTGGAGTTACACATTTAGCCTAGACAGGCAGAAGCTGTACAGCTGTCGCAACAGTCACACAGCAAGCTTCTCCCTAGAAAACCTTGAATTCCCAGGTGCTTTCTAAAAGGTATGAGGATGCGGAAGCCTTGAGTTTAAACCACTAACACCTGATCTTTTTAAGGTTCAACATTTCCAAGTCCCAGGCTAGCTCTCTTCAAACTTGCCGCTGTATGCGGCTTCTGCTGCCAAGTTACAGAAAGTGCAGATGGCACCAGCATATCACCAAGGCATGAAAGGGTGTTTCCACATTTTACTGGTAACTAATCTCTCCTGGCATACTCTCATCACTAACATTCACAAAATAAGAACAACCAAGAGGGGCATTCGGAACAGTTCTCAGAGGACTAGTTTTTTGATCCAAACTGCCATCTGCAAGCCCGATTAGGACAAGCTCTCCAGAATGTCTCTACCTGCGAGCTAGCCAGAGTGCAGGAAAGGCTGGATGAGAGCTTCTCGCCCCATCCAAGTTCTAACACAGCAGGCAGTTGTGCTGTTTGTTGAATGAAGTCCCCAGAAGGAGGAACGTTGCAAAATGGGACATTAGTTTTCCACCCAATTCCTGGAACCAGGAGGGGACTCACAGGTGAGGCTGCATGGCTCAAAAGTGCTCAGAGTCTACAGGAGGCATGGAGATCTGTGAGATCCAAGATATTGAGCACCCTCAGGGCCCTCCTTCTCACACAGGTACCAGCATGCAACACTGCCCATAAGAGAAGGCAGCACTTTTGCCAAAGCACACAGGCTGCTGCCTTTTCCTCGCCTCCATAATACTCAGAATGGCCTGGAGGGGACAAGGGAGAGCAACAGCATAACCAAGCCCAGGGCTGTCATCCCAAAGGGAGTTGCTGTAAGAAGGAAATGCACACTCCTCACCACAGTAGTATTCTGGATTCAGTGACTCCCCAGTACGCAGAAAGGAGTATAGAAGAAATGCCTTGTGATACACATTCAGATCCAGGCTCAGGGGATCCAACTCAGGGCACGTGGAAAGGTATGCACCAAAAGTGGCCATGGCGATGAATTTCATCAGTTCCACATTGGGAACATGGCCAAAGCTGCAATCATATGAGTAGACACCGCCCACCTACAGGATGGATAAAGAAGATTACCTCAGAGAGTACAGCACTGCTGAGGTCAAGGGAGAGAACCAGACAGGCAGGCAAGTCCCCTCCGGAGGTGAACGCTACTGATAGCGACTCACCTCCTTCCCTCTTGCAGGCAGCTGCCCACAGACTCGCTGCGAGCAGCAGACATACCTGTACAAAGGAGCAGGCCACAGTGCCACTGCGGAGCTGGTTGAGTAAAGTCTCGCACACAGCCACATCAGGGACACTAGTCACACCGTCCGTAATGATTATTATACCTGTAAAGAAGGCAGTATCTTAGTGCATTCTCCATCTCAATCATCTATATCCACCAGGGATAAAATTTCAGCAGGGCAAAAATAGAAAGGAAAATCCGGAGGATGGTTTACAGCTTCCAAGGTGCTCTGGAGCTGGGAAACGTCCCGACTAGGTATGGCAAAGCCGTAGCGCTGGGCACAGCTCTACACACCCTGAGCTGTTCTGAGCGACAGTCACGGCTATGCTTCCTCACAAACTCAACACTGACACATGGCACAAGGTGCAGTGCTATTTTCCTCCCCGTTCCCACCACCACAATTTGCCTACAGAGTGCAGAACAAAAGCAGCTTTTGAAATTTCATCCCCAACAGAAGGGTTCACGCACCAGCCTTTATAAAATTAATCTCAGCCTAAGGCAGGAGGAATACAACCCTTTGCAAACAACTGGGCAAACCTTGACCCAGAGGACAAAGCCAACCTGCGCTGGAGTTGGAGGGCAGCAGCTGCAGCGCTAGGATCCCCTGCCGGACCATGCTGACGAGGCCAACATCAGCAGTGACAACAGACACGCTGGGCTTCCTCCCAGATGACTCCTGCGCATCACCAGGACTCTCTTGGCTCAGGGGTGACAAATCCACCTGGAAATATAAAAACAACCCACAAGGCCCCATGGGGCAGACTTCAGCCTAGCTCTAGCTCTCACTCTCCCAAACAGCCTTCAGTACAACAACCCCATGGTACCACAGCCCTGGAGCACCAGTCAGCAGACTTCACTTCTATCTTTAATTTCCAGGTACTCTCAAAGTCCTGGTCACTTGGGCCCCTTAGAACAGCTGGGCAAGGCTGCTTGGGGTGGAGGAAGGGGACAACACGCTCAGAGCTTTATTATAAGGTGATTTCTCACAGAAGGGGAAAGATGAGACACTCTGGGGTCACTAAAGCTCCTCTGCAGAGCAAAGCAGTTCCCAATTCAAGAGACAGTGAATACCTCTTTTTTTCCTTGTCATTTAGTAGAAGCTGCAGCTATTCAGCATCTACTCAAGTAAAGCCCAGAAATGCTGGAGAGGCAGACACAGCTATGTCTCACTTCTGAAGCACTGCAGCAGAGGGGGTAAGGAGCCTTGCAAGGACAAAGTCTAGTGCCTATACATTTAACTCTGTTCAAACGGCACTTGTTATGCAGTGCTGATATAAGCAAATGCAGGTAGGCTTCTCCTGCATCTTCTATGAAAAATATCCCCCAGGCAAAGCCTGAAATTTGTGTAATTACACTGGTGAGGAATCTACCGCGTTCACAGTCACCTCATCTCCAGAAGGCTCTGGCAGTTCAACCCTGTAATAAACTATTGCTTCATTTTCACTGCTAACACAGAGAATGGGCGAGACCCTCTCCTGCAAAGCTACTGATGATTGGAGCTCGCAGAAGAAAATTAGAACTAACTAAACTTTTGTTCTGCACAAATGGGAGCAGTCTGTGGCTGTGAGCAAAAAACCTGACTATCCATCACTTTAACTTGCCAGATGCCTTAAATTCAGACACTTGTTGACAATGATACAGCTAATGCAACTTCAAAAGTAAAAAAAGTTTCAGTCCCTGCCCTTCCCCTGGGGCCTCCCACCTCCACCCCACAGCCTGTGGCAGGACTCGCCAGTCCCTCTGGCCTGCAAGCGCGTCTCTTTCCCCCATTTGCATGGAAGAAGTTATAGGGTAGTTCATCATGAGAGAAATACTGCAGCAGGCAGGAATGCATAAAAAGCCCTGCAGAAACACCAGCTGGACACACTGGTAAAGGTATTTACTTCCTGCAATCTTCTTTCTGTTCCAGGACTGACAGTCTTAACACTCAAAAATACAAATTTCAGCTAAAATGTGAGATTTGAAGCACTTCAGATATGCAACTGCAATAGATCACCAGTAGCCTCTTGTTCATCTGATTTTGAGACTTTTTTTTTTTCTTTTTGCCCAAACTCTAATAACTAATGCTAAATAAGGACTAAATAACCTCAGCCAGGCCAGTAAATGCCTTTCACTGCAAGAAGGGTGCCCATAGATAGGATTGTGAGTGTCACGTGAACATGGCAGTATCACAATGTAACCTTTACATTCTTCATTTCCAAGATCAGGAGGGATGATCTTGATGAAAAATCCATGGTCATTCTGAATCCCTACAGAATCTCACTTTTAATTTTAGCCTAAGCTGTATTTTATAGTGCTATCACTAACTTGCTGATACCTATATCTGTAGCTACTAAACAGCATCTGCCACAGATTTCAAGTATTAGAAACTGCACCAGCTGTTTATTCAGTTTCATGGTCAGTTTTTGTGGCAACAAGGAAATATTGTCATTCAAGAAATGTAACAAGGGCCAAGGGCATATTCACAGCTATTCATAGATCAATGATATGGGCATAAACACCTCTCCCACCATCTTCTCCAGAGAGCAAGCACATCCTGCATGTCTCATGATGTACAAGAAGTCAGGCTGCTTTACTGCACAATAATCTTAGGGAAGCTAACCATTCTCATCAGTCCTTCTAAACACTTACTGGTTCTGCCTTCCTCAGTGTTCATGTCTCATTACTGGATCCCACAAAATGATCTTACAAACTCCTCAGCTGTTCCTTCTCCAGACCTACGCTGCTGTTCCTCTTGCCACCCCACTCCAGAGGGGCCTCAGAGTGCAAACTTCTAAGGAGCCAAGAGACCCCAAACACCTCTGCCCTCCTTACCTGTGGTTTGGGCTCATACTGTTGCTGAAGCATCTCTGCCACTTTGTTCTCAAAGGCACATAGCTGTGTGTAAACTTGGTGCAGGAAGGCCTCTCGCTTTGTCTCATCCAGTTGACAGCCCTGGAATAATACCTGGCCCAAGGACACACATGTCAGTCATCAAGTTAAGGTTTTATGCAGCAAAGGAACACATTTCTGCACTGTGAAGTTCAGACACATCCCTGACAAAGTACAGGTACAGCACAGGCCCCTTACTACTCCTGCGTAGGGCCAACTGCCTGTGAGCAGCAGTGTCTCATAGCATCTGCACTGCATTCCGCAGCAGATGCTCACATCCCTCACTGGGAAATCTCCTTCTTGGGCAAGAAATTTCTACCTCATTTGCCTTCTTTCAGGATAAGCAGTTGTCAGGAGAAAGAGATGCAGCATCCCTGTTAGAAGCCATTCACTCTGCTCTGATGTTTCTAAGGAAAGCCTGTTTATTCTAATCTAACTCACCTATAGACTGATCCAATTATCTTCCAGTAAGTGGCTGGATAAAGGAACAGCAAATTGAAATAAAGAAAAGAAAAAATTAGACTGGACTTTATAAAAGAGGCTCAGTGATGTGACAGAGGGAGCCCGCAACAACAGAAACTCCCCAAGCTGATAGGCATGACACTTGTGTTTACAGATGTCACCATTGTACAGGCAATCTCTGTCCACAACCAGGAGGCAAAGAAGATACAACACGTAGACAAAGAGCTCAATGGACAGGTGGGACACTACATGTTATCCATTCCCTCAACCTCAGATGGTCAAGACCTCACAGCGACATAGGAAAAGTAAATGACTACAACATAGACAGGCTTTCCTGGATGAGTCATACACATATATGCCTTTTCCTCCACTAAAGAAGCATAAAGCTTATCCAGTTGCACCCAGAGATTACAGTTCCTGACATCAAACAATAAACGGGTCTTCAAAGAGGTCCAAAGAAGAAAAACGTAGCAACTTTAGAGTGCTCAATTTAGTGTAAATAGGGGAGACACTGAGGCAAAGCATGATGGTGTCTGCAGTATAGCTGGACAAGATGACACACAAAACATCGTTGGCAAATGGAAAAATTCCTCCTGTGCTTACTTTGGTAGAACCTAAGAATGGACCAAAGTGAGGGCCACGCTCTTCAAGCACTGCACAGACCATTAAAGGCTGCAGCCTCACAGAAGGCGTGGGCAGGGGAGAGAGAGAGGGAGAGAACAATCATAGACTAACAGGCTCATCCTGTCACCACCCATTTTCCCAGGTATTAGCAGAGGGATGAAATACACCACCAGAAATGTGAAAATAACGTGAAAATACTGTGAGGTGGAAGGGACCGATACAAGAAGGATAAACTTCAAAAACCACACTGGCACCATAAAGCAGACTTTAATTTATTAAACAGACCTGCGCTGGTTCAAGTAAAATCTCATTGATAATCTCAACACTGGGGCTGGCTACTCTCTCCAGCAAGGAGAAACATAGTCATGCTAGTGCAAAAAGAGCGCAACATTTGTAGGAAGAGGCAATTATCTTTGAATAAACCACTGCTACACAGTTGGAGCATGAAGACAAGCTTTTGGGCATACCAGCTCTTCTTGAATGCTTCAAGCTAATTACAACAGGTCAAAAAGAATTACTCAACAGAAATTAAAAAAAAAAAAAACAAAACAAAAACAACAAGCAGCACACATTCGACATGAGGGAAATATTCCCTTTGGCCCAACTTTGAGACTGCCTGTGGGCGGCGTTCGCTGCTGGGCCCTGCTCCCCCAGGAGAAACCTCCACTTCCTGCCCAGAAAGCAGAAGTTGCTCAAACACACTTCCCCACTGCACCAGGCTGCACGTTTTAATGAGACAAGTCTGCAGCATCACAGATAACAGAGCCCAGCTACCACATGTCCCCACTTTCCCCTGTGTTCACAGGAAGCCCATACAAGGAGCTGTGCCAAGGGAGAGGCTGAACTGTACCTGATGGGACTGCAGGCCAATGATGGAGGAATACGCCTGGATGGTGACGAAGATCTCTGGCTGGTAGATAATGTCTGAACCAGGGATACGAAAGGGTCTTAACAACCCCACCAAGCATCGGGAAAGGGCATGAAACACTTCATCAAAAATTATCTCCCCTGTTGAGTCATCCTACAGAAACAGTGAAAGGGAACAGCTTTTTAATCTTCTAGGACTTTAAATCTCATTGCTAGTTGCCTCACCACGCAGAGCCAACAGCAAATGTCCTTCCGCAATGGCAGCTGGATTAAAATCACAGTTCCCTGTAAATGAAAGTCACGCATTGAGCATTCAGCAGAAAAACAGGATCTGCCTTTAAGCTGCCTAGCTAGGAGCACTGCATGCCTCCCTCATGCGAAAAGCAAGACTTCTGTAAAGTTAAGAGAAGAATAAGCCTTCTCAGCAAATAGAAACAAGTTCAGCCTTTTAATGCAGAACACCCCAAAGAAACAGCTTCTGCACTTACCACAATCCCTGTGGAAGGGCTCAGATCAAGTTCAATCACAAATCGGTACTGGCGGGCCAAGAAGGTGACCCGCGTAGAGGGCACGAGGAGATAGGGCCTGGGCTGGACAGGCTCGTCTGGCTGCCACCCATTAGGCAGGATGCTGAGAACATCAAGTTCATTTTCTGACTTTAACTATGAGAACAAGAAAAAGTAAATGAGAGAACGTCAACCCAAGCCTAAGGAAGGCTCAGAGAAAGGAACTGGGTTAAAATCTTCGGCAGGGTCCAGCTGCTCATGAGTGGTGCAGAGCCAGCTTGCCACATCAGGCCGTGGTGACACCATCCAGCCCCGGGGCACCAACTCACCAGCTCCGGCTCGGGCACAGCCCAGATGACCTGATGGAGTCGGCTGAGGACCCAGGCGAGGCGCACATTGCGGGAGATGCGATAGTCTTTCTTCATCAGGAGGAAGACGTGCCCTGCCTCCTCCACCTGTGGCAGCAGC